CTCCTCAGAAACCTTTGCTGTTATTACTGTTAAATGCCATCAAGTTGGTTCTGACGCATAGTGACACTGTATAGGGTTTCCAAGTGGTAGCTGGTGGGTTTGAAGTACCAATCTTGTGGTTTGCAGTTCAGTGCTGACCCCATAGCAATAAATCCTTTCTTGCTATTAAAATAACATACTTGCTTAAACCATATTTCTATAACGCTTTTCTATTCCAGTTGGGCATCCAAAATTATCTGGAATGATCCAGTGTACTGATCATGTTAAGAAGTGGGGTATGCTAAGAAGCAGGAGAACGTGTGAACTATTGATTACTAGAGTCTAGAAACTGTGCCTGTGCATTGGCATCTTCTCCCCAGACCCAGCACTCTCATCCAAAGAGCTAATGAAACTTAGTCCATTTGGATAACCACTTTGGCCAGCTAGTTGTTATAGACTCAGAATTCTAAAGTACAAAGAACGTAGACACATATTTATATCCAGAACAGGCCCCTCAATTAAACTGAAAGTCCATCAAAGGACTCAAAATGATCTAAGCTACCTTAGATAATTAAGAGATACACCAACTGGAGTTTAAAAATGCAAATGGTGTTGGTAGTGTTAAGTGCCACTGAGTTGGTTTCAACTCATAGTGACCCATAGGAGGGTATCCAAGAGCGACTTGTTTGTTTGAACTGCCAACCTTACAGTCTAGTGTTTATCCTACAGCACCACATCAGACCTCAAAAGCAAAGGAGGTGCCTAAATTAGGAAATGATGAGCCAAGAATCATGCTAAGTAGCCCCAGTGAGTGGCCTTTACTAGGAATGGTGATTGGGAAGGTGAGGGGCTGGGACCCATGGCAGAGACATCCCAGGTCCCTAGGGGTGGAGAGGTCTAGGATAGAGTTGTGGCGATAAGATGGAGACTAGCATGTGGAATCTGTGGAGGAGGAATAAAGTTTTACTATTTTCTCTCCTGGTGTGGCACTGTGGGTTAATGCGCTGAACTGAAAGTCAGTTGGAACTGCAAGGTTGGCAGTTCAAGCTCACCAACTTCAACTCAGTAACCCTCTACAGAGTCGCTATGGTCTGGAATCAAATCAATGGCACCTAACAACATCAACAATCTTCACCCAAGGGAGAATTAATTTTCTCATAAAAAATAAGACCTACGTACAAATTAACTACTGGTATGACACTGTAGGATCAGCACTAGACTGCAAACATGGTAAACATTTCAAACCTACCAACTGCTCCTTGGAAATGCTATACGGGGTCGCTATGAATCAGAACTGACTGGACAACACTAAACAACAACAAAACCTACTGCAAATATATCAATGAATGTGGGGGCACATACAGGGGGAAAAAGTTATAAAAACTTCTTACATAAAACCAAGTACCTGGAGGGAATGAGTCACTGAGCATCTGGGCTCAGGTCCATAGTCTAGGGGGACACCAAGATTCCCCTAACATATCTACATATCTATCATATATATAACATATCTACAAATGACATTGTTCTACATCCTACTTTTGTTGAGTAACAACTTGGGTCTTAGAAGTTTGAGAGTGGCCATGTAAGGTACATCTAATAGTCTCCCCTTGTCCAGAGCAAAGAAGAG